AAAAAAAAAAAAGTTTGAGGAAATGTTTCACATGGGGTAGGATGCTGTCGAACCCCAAATCTGAAGGTCAGGCAGCTGTAAGCCATATGTGGGGACAGAGGATGCACCCCATTCTTCTCAGAAGGCTCATTTTATACCCAGTAAGATGGAACCCTGTTAACAAGTATTCACAGCCGAATCCTATCAGTATCTTCCAGACTCATGCAGGGAAAAGTTGTTTGGTTAGAGCTACATTGTGCAATCAAGTTAACATACCCTTCTTCTTTCAAATATAGCATTCTATTCTCCACCCCTGGACTGTGTCTTATTTATGCACATATGACCTGGGGTCTGTGACAGAATTTTCCCATTAGGCATTGGCTTCCTACTAAGGTGAATCAGCCAGGCTTTTCCCAGTACACACTCCAGAAGCAGCTTTTCTCCTCACAGCTTGAGCATAGCAATCCTTACAAGTAACTGTCAACGAGGCAAGGATTAAACAAAGAGTTTCGTGTGATTCACACCCTCTATGGAGGTCCGATCTTAATCTCATCCTATTCTTGTTCCATAGCAGATAATGCCACTCCAAAATGGGAATAAAGTCACAGGCACTTGAAATCCAGAATTATAATATAAAGGGTTATGGTAGGAATGATCATATCAATTGAGTGTAATTCAAAGATCTTGGTGAAAAGGTAATCCTTTGATGTGGATAAGAATATAGCTCTAAAGGATAAAGATGTAGTGGGAATCAGGTCATTAAGTTATCAATCTCTCACTCCCTGCACTCCTCCCCCACTAAATACATTCCTGAACTGTCATGGCTGTGGAAATTCATTTACATGATTTTTCTAACACATATCTACTATATGTTATTCAATATTCTAGAACAAACGAAGTGGAACAAAATCTCTTGCTCTCATTGAAGGTCTATTTTAATGGGATCAATGAAAGCAGCAGTGTCAAGTTCCTATATAACAAAGATTTTCTGTCGGAAGTCTCAAATATATCATTTTAAATGAAAACAAAAAAGATGCAATGACATGTTAAAATATCATAAAATACAACTTTTATCTAATTTGGTCCCTCTTCCTTTATAATTATTTATCTATTCAGTGCTTTTAGACAGTACACCCAAGTTCATAAAAGTGTGACGAGCTTACTTGAGAGGTTTGGTGCCTTCAATCTAATGGCCAGCCAAACTGAGCTTTTAATTCAGAATTTCATCAATGCTATCAGTTTTCTAAATCCGTTTTAGGTCCTCCGCTGCTATTTCTGTGCGAGAGAACAACGGCACGTTTGTGAGCACTTTGAACCTGCTCCTTTATAATGTAAGTAAATGAGGGAGGGATGTGGTCTTCCATTTTCTCTTTCTGAGCAGCAAATGTCTTTCACAGAAGAAGCATCCTGCAGAAAGCCATATTGCTCTTTTTATGCCCTGGTCACACTTATCCATCTTTATTACCATCTTCATATGGCTTAGGGATAAAGGTATAGCAAAATCATTTTTTGAGAATTGGTTAATAATTTTACTTCTATTTCATAAATATATCTACCTAGTTACTCAATATGCCTACTTTCCAACCTTGATATGTGCATATTTCTTTCTCTCTCCTTGTGTGTGCATGTATGTATGCATAAGGTCAAGATTTGGGGAATAATGTTTTGTGCTAACAGGTAGGGAAAAATCTAAATGATAACTCCTTTAGAGTCAAGCTTGGTGATGAATGTATTAATATTTTCAAGATATTGAAATTGAACATTTAATTGAAATATTAAGATCTTGGCTGATGAAAAATCTGTCATATCTGAAATAATTTGTATTGACTACATAGCATTGTCTAAAATTTTGTCATATAAATATGGACAGTGGCAGCAAAATGTGAAAAATACATGGATTTCTATTTATAACGGTAACATTAATCCCCCAAATGATATTTTCATGTTGATTAAAATTTTTATTCATACATTTTAAATGCCTGATTTAAATATCAATTTTTCAATCTATCAACCAACATTTTGGTAAATTATGAATCTGATTTTTGCATTATTATTCATGTCATCATGCCACTGAGTTATAATTCATGCAACTGATTTAAAAGTCAGGGCTTTATACTTTGCATATAATGAGCTATAAATATTGTAGCAGGACATTTTCCAAAGGCATTTAAAAAAATCATGTTTATAAGTTTGTAGTCTGACACCACAGAGTTCTAAACAACAAATTAAAATGTGTTGGAATGAAGATTGCTTTTCTGTCATTTCCAAACTTTCTTCTGCGAGGAGAAACTGCCAAGTGACTTGGTTCTACATACTCTGGGAATCTGTGCCAATGTCGGGTCCTCATTTGGAAGCTATTTATTATTATTCTGGGCAATCATTATATAAAAATCTTTAATTTGCACAGCTTTTATTGATTGATTTACATGTGAATGCTACAAGGTAGAATTGAGGTGACCAGTTTGCATTCAATATGATTTGTTATAATTCAGTGAAACAATGATGACAATTCCTGACTTTAAAAATACAAAAATGTATCCATATTAATTAATGATACCACTATTTTCTTTCAAATTAATCTACTATCTTATTGGGAAATAGAAAATAAAACATTTTAAGTATGGGGTTGAGGAGAGCTTACTTGATGTTGTGGAGCCTTGGTGGTGCCATTGGGTAAGTGCTGGCTGTCCACTCAAGGTCTGCCCTTGAGCCTCACCAGACTCACTTCCAGGAGGAAGATGAGGCTATTTGCTCCCAGGGAGATTTACAGCCTTCAAACCCCCAGAGAGTCCTTCTGAGTCAGTGTCACCTGGAAGTTAGTAGGTTTTGCTTTTGTTAAGTTCTTTTCGTTTATTATAGTCAATTTAGCTAAGTCTTCAAAGAGTTTTTGTAATTCTCTTATTATCTAAAATTATTAATTCATTAGTAACACTAACCAATTTTAATATCATAATATAAGTGAAATAACTTTTACCAAAATACATGTACTTTTCAACCAAGTTTCTTTAAGATTGTCACTAAGTGGTTGAATTAAAAATTAAATATCAATGCTTATTTTAAATTAAAATTGAACCATTTCTTCATAAAATAGCTTTGAACATGGCAGCACCCTAGTGTTTAACAACGTTAAGAATAAATACATTAGTAGTATATTTTAGAAAAACAGGTTAGGTTTTCATTGATCTAAAATCACATTTGTTATTTTTTTGGTACAGTAACACTTAGCTATATTGATTTAATGCATTGGAGCATTTAAAATTAAATATCATTTAATGGTCATTAGGGACCATTCTTTGTACCTTGCATGCAATGGTTTTTTATTTTTAACGTTTAGGCATGATGAAAGTTGCATCACATATCAATTTATACTTTTATTATCATTCTCTGGTTAGTTATTGATCAAGGATATGATGTACCCAATTTGAATCCAGCAAAACTGTTGATGTCTAGGTGTCTTAGGAAACAATATGTGCACTCAGGGAAATTTTAACAGTAACAACCAATGACAATTTGATTATTTGACTTCTGTAGGAGGGGCCTTTAAAAAGTTCATGAAATTCATAATATGGATATCAATGGTTTTGCACCAAAATAAACTCATACAAAATTTATATAATATACCTGGACATGATCTAGTTTGAAGCACTATATGACATCAGTTTGAAAAGAACCCCTATCAGAGCAATATGGATTCTACTAAAATTGGAACAAGAACAAACATCAAATTTACGATCAAAGTTTGGTGGAAGAATGGTGAAATAATTGCTACCTTAGAGAGAATTGATTGGACTAATCGTCCAAAGACATTAACATATCCATTAAAAAATGCATAGCTAGTTTTAACAAGAGATGAGACCATATGGAAGCTGAAAGCCCCAGCGTCAGGTCACCCAGCATCATTTGAGTGGAAACAATCGTCTGTGTATCCTAAGTGGAGAAGATGACGGTTGGCTGCATTCCCCAGAGACGTGAAGCCAGTGGAGCGTATCTGTGAAATAGAGAGAGATTTCTATAAAGACAACGGCTCATGGAGTAGAAGGAGTCGACTCCTTCAGGCAAGTTGCTAGACCTTTTCAAAGCCATTGGTAATGTAGCCAGGCATCATCGAGGTTCTCCTGACTTGTATAGTCCCAGGGGGCCAATCAACCCCAGAACAGCAGGTAGATAACCATCCTGTGGCTGCAGAGGCAAATGGTCCAAGATTTGGGGCTCCTGTTAATTCCCAGGATCAGCAGGCATTAAACAGACCTTTGGTTTAAGTTTAAAAACCTGCAGGTCGATTTGGTTTACACAAAAGGTGGGGAAGCTGTCCTACAAGGGGTCCACACCCATGGAGGAAACTTTCGTTCAAGTGGTTGAATCAGACCAACAAACAGCACATGCACACTTCCCTCAACAACAACTTTTTTGGGTCATAGGCCCCGAGGCAATTGCCTTTTAATTGATTGGTTGCTCGTAGCAGATCTCCTTGTGGAAGTGATTATATTGTGTCACATATCATTGAGAGTAATTAGTGGGTCGTAACTGCCAAACCACTGAGAAGCCTCGCCTTGCCAAGTTTACACAAAATTAACTATCACGTGTGGGTACCAATGATTAATAGGAAAAACAATAGCCAATGCCATAGACATCTCAATTGGTTCACTTGACAAAGTTATAACTGAAAAATTAAAGTTGAGCAAATGGGTGCTCAAAGCTTTTTTCCAAATCAGCTATGACAAGAACAGAGCTTTCAGGGGGGCATTCTAATCAAATGGGTTCAAGATCCTGAAGACTTTCTTCAAAGAGTGGAATCCGAGATGAGACGTGGCTTCACCAGTTTACTGAGAGAGTGTTTTAAGAAAGCGAACCAAAGGCCAAGTAGAAAAATACCAGGGAATCCTTCTACACAACCAAAAATCTGCTTCTTCCTCTCATCAAACCAGAGCGATTTTGCACGAGGTTCAGAGTCTTGTTTGGACTAATTCTGTCCTCTTTTTCTTTCCTAATATTAAAAAATATTTAGAAAGCACCTTTTTTTCAATTAATAATGCAAAAAATATAGCACTGTATGGCTAAATTTCCATAGCCTTCAGTTCTTCCACGATGAATTAAATGACAACTTACCAAAAAGGTCTTAACTTTGATGGAGTGTATATTGATAAAGTTTAGATATTTTATTTTTTAATCTTTTAATTACATTTCCATTAACATTTTGAGGACTCCTTATTTCTGCAAGTTAGCTCAAGTTGAACTGTATTCTTAGTTCTGTGTAATATAAATATAGCAATTTTTATTCTGTGTAGAAATTGAAAGGAAAGATGTCTCCATATATTTGAGTTGAATCAAAATATTAATATCTTCTGAGTGGTTCCTATACCAGTAAATCTAAAACAGTTATGAAGACTATTAGTATATTTTAAAACCTTTTATTGTGAATTTACGGTACATATTCAGTTTTATAGTCAGCATTTATTACACTTTAAAAAAAAATCATCCATTATATTACCTCACTGTACTAGGGCTTCTCCCATTTTCTCTTTTTGTTTCCTTTTTCCCTTCCTCGTTCTTTCCTCACCTTCTAAACTTATCCTTGGAAAATGCTGCCCTTTTGATTTTAAATATCGGATTTCACAGGGATGAATTCATTTCCTGACTCGAAGGGTGATTAAGAGCCATAACCTTGGGAGCCAATCAGTCGCTATCTAACCAGAAACCTTCTCGCTTTTGACTTTGGGTCTTTTGCCACATTTTTCTTCCTCTCTATTCTAGACCCTTCAAAGGCATTGCTAGGGAGCCAGGTATCATCTAGGTTTTCGGGTCTCAGTGTTGCATAGACTGCTGTTTGCACGGTCCATTAGATTATTTCATCTGTCTGTTTTTATCACTCCCCTTACTTGCAAATGGGGGAAATTAATAGTTTCAATCAGATAATTGCTCACTAGCTTTTGGGAACCCAGTCACTACTCATCACAGTAGGGTGTAGGGTGTTGTCTTTGTGAACTATGTCATACCAAGTGAACTTGGTGTCCCCTCAAACTCTGTTCCCCATCCTCAGACCCGTCAATTCATTTGCTCAAGGGATTAGGCTCGGCTTTCCTGTCTTTACCCCTGTATATACCAACTCCTTAATGGATCTACTTGCGGCAAAGGTATGTACACACATATATAAATGTCCTCTGTCAAACTTATCGATATCATGGGAATGTTTTCATTCTCTCCCACACCAGTCCAATCTGTGTGTTTATCCAAGCATCTCCTGGTAGTAGATCGCCAATTTTGTAGAATTGTGCATGTAATAGTACCTTTTTTCTATTGCCTTGAACTTTTACAAACCTCTCAGGGTCTTCCCTTGCCTCTCTTATTATGTCCCAATCTCCCTTAGTGTCTATTGCCTTCCGCTTCACCCAAGTTAACATGTTTCTATCAGATCTATGGTGTCCCCACTTTAATTCCTCTCCAAACAATTTTTGTTGGTTCTGTTAGGTGCAATAGAGTTCTTTCCAACACATAGTGACCGTGTGCACAATGTAACAAAACAATGCCTGCGCCTGCACCATCCTTACAATTGTTCCTAAGTTTGAACTGATTGGGCAGCCACTGTGTCAATCCATCTTGTTGAAGGCCTTCCTCTTTACCGCTACCCCTCCACTTTACCAAGCTTGATGTCCTTCCAGGGACTGGTCTCCCCTGAAAACATGTCCAAAGTCAGTAAGATGAAGTCTTGCCATTCTGGCCTCTAAGAGAACTCTGGTTGTACTTCTTCCAAGACAGATAGATTTATCCTTTAAGTAATCCCTGGTACTTACAAAATTCTTCTCCAGGGCCAGCATTCAAATGCATCAATCCTTTTGGTCTTCCTTATGCAGTATGTGAGGCTATGGGAAAATACCGTCGCTTGGGTCATGCACACCTTAGTCCGCAAAGTAACATCCTTTCTCTTCAATACTTTAAAGAGGTCTCATGCACCAGATCTATTTAACGCAACGAACATTTTCCTCACTTCCATGAGCATTGCTTGTGGTTCCAAGCAAGACGACATTCTTGACAACGTCAACCTTTCTCCCTCTATCCAGGATATGACCTTTTGGATCAGTTGTGGTAATTTTTAGCATATCAATTATCTTTTCTAATGTGCAATTGTCAAGTGTATAAGGATCTAGAACTGCAACCATAAAATATTTAAACTAAAGGAGTTGTAATTCAAAGAAACTGTATAGTAAGCATGAATATCATTGATGTCAGTGTACTATCAATCTAAATATATTGAATATTAATTGCTAAGTGTAATTAGATAACTGAAAGATTAATTAAACATAGCAATGCTTATTGAAAGTAATATTACAAATTGATTATTAATAACTGCATGTCATCTAAGGAAAATACATATCAACCACATTATAAAGTAAAGTTATAGCAAGAAAAAAGGTTTATGCATGAATATTAAATCCTTTCACAGATATCGTTAGGAGCCATTTTGTTGGAGATCTAGAAGATTAACTATGTCCATTCTGCTGTTGGTTTGTGTGTTGATTTACCACCTCCCCCCCCCCGCCACCACCACTAACATAGATGTTTTAAGTGTAAGTGTGCTTTTGCTAGAGAAGACGATAAAATGTTCCTTTTTTTAAAATTAGGATTCATCCTACCGAGAGCAGTTAATGATCCCAAGCACAGGATTACCTTTGAAAACCAAAGTTTTTGCAGCTGTACAAGCCACCAACCTGGATGGCAGGTATTTCTATACACTTATTTTGTGTTGGTTACACAGAGCCTCATGAATCATACATTGATTTCATGTATTTTAAGATGAAAGTTTTAAAAGTGCTACCATGGCCACACAATTTAGACATGCTAATGAGTCCTGGTGACGTAATGGGCTGCACAGTGAGGTACAAACTACAAGGTCAGAAGTTTGAATCCACCAGGAGCACCATGTGAGAAAAACGATTCTGCTGTCTGCTTCCACTGAGCCCAGAGCAATTTGATGGCAATTAGTGAGAATAACTAGGGGAAAATCCTCAAATTATAAACGTCAATGGATAGCATGAATTTTATTTCCTAATTTGGAGGTAATATTTCTTTCCATAAATAAGGAGTGGTGATTAGGAGGCAAGATTTACATGTGAGGTGGTTAACAAAAAGTAGTCACTTTGTGAACACTTATGATTTGAAAATCCCTCTGTATGAATGCTAGCTTTTAAAATATATTTAGTAAAAGTCAAATAAATCTCTGCATAAAGGTCTGGGTCAAAATTATAAAAAACAATTACATGAAACATATCTTTAAAAAACAAAAATTCATTGTCAAACTTGGAAATTCTAGATTGTCAGAATTGAAAGGGAATTGAAAACTGTCCTGAAAAATTGCTAAAACTTAAAAGAATATTTCTTTGTACCTAATTAGTTAAATTTTGTACCCTGAAAAAATTGGTATATTCTAGAAATTTAAGTCCTATTTTCTCTTCCATTTTTTCCTTAGAAATATGTGATTACTTAATTAAAAACAATAAATCTGGGAATATTTCATTATTTACTGGTTATTACTTCATTTTGGCTAGATAATGTGTTTTTATTTAAAGAGTTAGCTTATATCTTGTATGTATCTATGTAGGCACTCTTGGTCTTGTGGATGAAGTTTGCATGTTTGCCTCAGAGCTTTCTTCCACCTCAGCACATTGTCTGTCTTCTACTCCTATGTTCCTTCCTTCTCCTCTTGCTTAAGACAATTTTGTTACTTCAGTGGTATAATTGTATCCCCAAACGTTTGATATATTATAATATTGTCTGTCTTCTGTTAGAGACAGTAGCTTTTTTTAAAAAAAGTTATTGTTTTCAGTGTCCATAACCATCAATTGAGTTCATTTTGGGGTTTTATGTCTTTCCAAATTTGACAATTCAGTTACTTAGTACACAAAAGATCTTAATTCTGTTAACACACATATCTTTGGGTCATTAACCATAATTCCACTTGATGTAGGATGACATTTCTCTCATAGAGACTTTTAAACATCTTGAGGTTAGAAAAGTTCTAATAAGTGAGAAGCATCTGTCAATAGTAGCTAATATAAAACTAGACATCGTTCATGTTATAAGAGGTTTGTCAATATTTGTTTCCATAGATTGTTGAAGTAGATTCTGATCTGGATTATGTTTACTTTCTCCTGTAGATGGAATGTCTTAATGGATTATTGCTACACCACTCCATCCGGGAATCCAAATGATGATATACGATATGATCTCTTCCTTAGGTAGGTGTCTAAATCTCCTATTTGAATCAAAGACTCTATTGTAATTAATCAAAGTGGAAAATCTAAAGCAAGCAAACAAATGCTAATACTCTTCTAGCTTCTGAATTTAAGATTTACATGTTGAACTATTAGTACTTATAAAGCTGGAGGCATAAAACTTAAGAACAATTTTTTACCTAAAATAATGATTAAGCGATTGTTGAGTGAGAGTTTCAAGTAGGTTAAACCCATCAAAGACATTTTATTCATGTATTGGAGAAATGGGAATATTTTTTCTGTCAGGAAGAACGTGGTTTGATATTATTGTCAATAAAAGCAAGGCAGTCAGAGGTCAATATTTATCTGCAGCCAGATCATCTCATCATATGTCAAGAGAGTAAATTAAAGTAATCGTCTGAGTAATTCAGACTCCGAAATGCTTTTGTTCATTTCTCAGTATTTCATAGGGAATTATAAGACAGCCTAGTTACTCCTTTTCTATCAGCGCCAATAACTTCAACTTCATTCGCCAATGGACAGTGATCGAGTGACTGTAATCTACATTTGGGGGAAAGGAGACATTGATCATAAAACCATTCAATCATCGCAGTTCTCTTTGAGCACTTTTATCTGACAGTAGAACAGACGGGGGAGTCAGACAATGGCTTCTAATCATGCTTATAAAATGCACTTGGCTCCGTTGGCTGCAGCTTATTGACACAGGATGGGAGTAATATGGTGGGAAACCAAAAGAATATGTTTCATTGGCTATTCAAGGTCAAGGTGATAATCTGAGGTGACGGTCCAGCCGACGCCCATATCCTCTTGCTGGAAGTGTTAATTTTGGCAGAATTTCTGGGAAAACTGTCAGGAAGTGTCACTTAAACGGTATCATGTTCTCTGATTCTGCATGTACACATTGGAAAGCCAAGTCTAACATACTTACAGTGCTCTCGTCTATCCGTGACACCTAAAACAGTAAGACTTGGAAACACGGTGGGGGCTCAGTAACAAGTAAATGGCTAAGAGAATTATGGAGTGCCAGTGAGTTAGGGAGCACAGATGCTACAGCCATATAAAGTGATTACAAAAATAAGAAATGAAACTGTCATTAAGAAACAAATAGAATGAGCATGCGAAAGTGTATTTATAATAGCCTCACTTATATAATATATAGACATAAATGGCTGTAAGGAAATATATTGACAGGTCCACAGTGGTTATTTATGTAGCATTGTGGGTCATTTGTTATTTTTCTGATTGCCTAAAGTTTCTAAAAAATCACATATTGATAATGCTGTTATAAAAATGTGGACAGCCTACTTCTGAATCTTTTCATTTTTCTTATTGAAAATCAGAGAGTAAAAAAAAGGAAACTGGAAATGTCCCCAAACTCAATTTTTAGTAGAACTGGAATAAAAAGGAGACCTAGAATTTCCAAGATATATGTGAATGTTTACTAAAAAAAAAAAATAAAATCAGCAGAAAGTAGCTTTTCAACTTTGTTCATGTTAAAGATAACTTTGTTATCTCTGGGGTAAATGCAGATTTTTTCTCCATACATTGCTTCCTACTAAAATCAAACTCACTGCCATAAAATTGATTTTGAATCATAGTGATTATTGGGCTTACAGTGCTGTAAATCTTTATAGGGACAAATAGCCTCGTCTCTCTCCGACAGAGTGGATGTTGGTTTGAACTGCTGGCCTTGCAGTAGGCAGTCTAACCACAACTTGACAGCTTCACACACGTAGATCCAAAATAGAGCAGTCCCTAAGGAGGGCAATACCGATTAGATATTATCACAGTCACCCGATAAGGCGGAGTGGAACTGGCACTGTGGATTTCAAAGACTGTAACTTCACGGGAGTCAATCGCCTCATGTTCCTCCCACGGAGGAGCTGGCGGTTTGTAACTGGGACCTGCAGTTAGCAGAACAAGGACAACAGCAATAAAAGCCCACCATGCCACCAGGGCGAGCGAGGGGCCTCTGTGGGTCACAATTGACTCCAGGGCACTGAGTTCTGTGTTTCTTATCAGACCCTACGGTGAGCCCTGCATGAGTTTAAAATAATTTATAGACAAAGCTATTTATTATTGAATTACTTATTTAAAAAGCAGAGTGCTCAAACAACTCAAGGGAACATAATTGGGGAACATTTGTACAATAAAATTTTATTCATCTGTGGAAAAGGATGAAGAACATCTGTAATACTTAAATGGAGAGATTGATAAGATACACAGTAAAATCGCAAAAAAGGTAAGGTATGAAATAGTATATATAATATGCTAATATTTGTTTAAGCTAGGGTTGACAATAAAAATATACTTGGTCTGCTTATAATTGCATATGCCCTAGGGGGATATAAGAATCCATGTGATCACTCATGATAGGCGTTGTGTGGTTATTCCAAGTGATGTGAACAAGGACAAAGATAGGGCCGCCTGACACTTCCAATACATGTATACGCACATGCTGTGCAGGAGAAAGATGAGGCTTTCTTGCCCTTAAACAGGGTCAGCCTCGGAAACTCCCACTGCTACCCCGTGCTATCGGTTGCTATGAGTTAGAATTGATTCGACGGCAGTGAGATGGGTTTTGGGTTTTAGATTTTCAGAGTTTAGAATTTTAGTATTGCTGAGTTGGAGCAAACTCGATGACACCTTACAGATTTTAAACCATTTTACGTATAATACGTATAACATATACGTTAAACCATTTTAACGTATAATACCAATGAAGTTTTAGAGTAATGTTATAATCCGAAACAATTCGGTTTATATTGTACAGTTTGTCCCTTTTGCTGTTCTACTAACGTATGGTCTTACAAATATTTGTAACGTGGTATGGTTTGTTCATGTTCCTGTAATACGACAGAAATGGCTTTACAAGTTCTGAAGTTTGATCCTGTCCAGTGACACTCTGTTTTCACATCTCTAACATGTAGTTGTGACAAAGACCCTCAGACCACCGTCATAGAAAATGGCAGAAGCCAGCATGGGCGGTTTTCATTTGAAGTGTTCCGGTTTGTGAAACACAAGAATCAGAAAATGTCCACTGTCTTCCTGCACTGTGTGACGAAGCTCTGCCGAGCCGAAGATTGTCCCTTCCTTATGCCAGTATGTTTCTACAACTTTATTGTACATTGTGGAATTGAAGTAACCTGAAGGGTTTGCAAGTGTTAACAATTTGAAAGATTTACTCACTTGTCGAGTAAATAGCTATTGAATGTCGATTTTATACCAAGCAGTTCTCTGGAGATACAGGGTGATCTGTGCATGGATTCTGAATCAATACACTTATACTTTAGGTTCTTGAGATGGTCATGGAGAGAAAAACAAAGAATAAAGGTGTGGGGTAAAGGCACACACGTTGTATCACATTGCTAGAGGGACAGGAGGAGAATTTGGGAAGTTTACTAGATGGAATAAACTGGAGCCATGACTTTGAAGATAGAGAATCCCAAAGGGTCAAATTCAAGAGTTTGAGAGAGATCTTGTTAACAAAGACAGACAGACAGACACACACACACACACACACACACACACACACACACACACACACATGACTGGTGAACTTCCAGGCCTTTGGTGAGCCTCGGCACAGTTCGGAATAATGGGAAGACCTGGATGGGGTTTCAGGGTGACTCCTGAAAAGTAGATGGCAGGAAGCGATCCAGGAAGCCCTTGAAGTGACTTCTGTTTGAAAGCTACGAAAGATGCGAGGATTCCCGGGGAACCAAACGCAACCACAAAGCTTTGTCACTGAGTTGACGCCAACAGAGGGACTGCCTGGGCTCTGCAGCAAAACCACTCCATCGCGTCGTCTTAACAGGTTAGGTCAGCGCACAGCTGGGTGGGTTAGGACACTCCACTTTTAGAGCAGCAGCCAGTGCAGCCCCTAGCAACCTCCGATTGCACGTACCCACCATTAAGGCCTAAATCCATTTATTAGTGAACAAAAGAGTTATGTTTGTAACAGGTTCCATTAGGGGTCACATCAATAATTGCCTGAGAAAAATGCAGACCTATTATTATAAAGTCGAAAAGAATTACATGTTCATATCCATTCTTGATTCAATCATCAATGGGGACCCATCTCTTCACGTTCACTGATTACATTAGTTCTAACCCAGCCTTGCACATTTGGTTAAACAGGGAGCCCACATTACCGTGGCTTGTGCTGACTGACATTTCAGGGAAGGATTTATTAAAGGCTTGAGAGAAATAAAAGTAGGAAAGTTTGATAAACACAGCTCTTTTTCAGAAGAGCCATTGAGCGATGCAAATTAATGAGGCAAAGCACAATTACAGCAGGAGAATATAAGAAACGGAGCCCAAGCCAGGATAAGAAACCCAGTAGCTCTTATATGCAAAGTAATTAAATAAATGCACAGAAGGAAATGAATAAAATTAAACATGTGGTATCTCTTCCAAAACAATCTGCTTTCCAAATGGCCATAAAGAAACAATTTTGCGCCGGCATGGAATTTCATTTGTTTTCATTAACATTTCAGATTTGCGGCCACCGCAGAAGGCGAGATGCGGAGGGGAGGGCCACGTGGAGCCCACAGAGCACCTCTGGGAATGCTGTGCTCTCCGCGGGGCCCATCATCACGCGGAGCGGTAAGAGGGGTCTCCTCTGGGTCCAGGCACAGGCGCTGCCAACATGGTTTGCGACTCCGCTGCTAGCAGGATCTTAGAGCCCCCTCTAAAGAGCACGAATTAGCTGTGCGATAAGATAAATGTCTAAGCAACTTTAATTTCACAGTAGTTTCCTATTTAGTCAAATTCGACACAAAGGCAACACTTGTTTTATTCACAATTTACTACACACACACACCCGACCAAAACTATCTTTCATTCCAGCCATAGAGCCGATCTTTGCTCTTTCCTCTCTCTCTATCAGCTGATTTCTGTGGATCCACTAGCTCCCTGGCCATCATTTCTTGGTTTGAGTTTGGTCAGTGGCTGAGATCAGGGGTTGGGAAGGCACCAGCTAATGCTATCATTTCTTGGTTTGAGTTTGGTCAGTGGGTGACGATCAGGGGTTGGGAAGGCACCAGCTAATGCTATCATTTCTTGGTTTGAGTTTGGTCAGTGGCTGAGGTCAGGGGTTGGGAAGGCACCAGCTAATGCATCTACACTGCTCTTTCCAGACACTCCCCTTGCACTTCGCCCTTGATGGGCTTGGGTAATCATCCTTTTAATGTAGACAGCTAAACTTTCTCTGGTGAGTTCCCAGCATCTTTGTACGTCCCCTACCTCACGCGTTCTCGGATGTGCCCAGGCAGAACTGTGATCTGTAACAGTTTCAATGGCTACGTGTTGAAGTGGAACTTCAAATTCAGGGAAGATTGTACAGTAGAACTTTTTTTTTTTTTTGCTAAGGACAATGTTTTTATTGCTACCAGCGGCTTTTATCACTGATCATTACGTGGTTGTGACTGCAATACCTTCTTCGGACTGGACATAGTGCTCAGGATTCAGAAGTCATTAAGAATAATACAGACAGATTGGGGAAGGAGGGGAATACATTTTATAGAGAAAATCTTAGCAACATAAACTTGGGTGCTGAATTCAATTACATGTTGTTACTGACTCAAATCATAGAACTGCCCCAGCATCCAGGCAGTCTTTCCTAGTGATTATAAGGGTGTGTGTGTGTGTGTGTGTGTGTTCTTATTAATTATAAAATTTAACTTCAGTTTCTTTATTGAGTACATGGATATAGTAACTTTATCACAAATTATTTTATACAAATGTCAAGAAATGATTTAAAAATATATAAACATGACCTAATCACATACCACTTTTAAGTTTTACTTTAAGACAAAAAAAATAAAAGCAGCAATTTTGTTCCTGGACTCCAGAAATTTAAATGAGATAAACACTAAAACTCAGCATGGTTATGCAAGCCTTTCTTTTACCACCTGATTCATATAAGGTAATTTCCAAGCAGAAAATGGCCATGTGATCATTCGTGGATAGTGGGGCAGGTTCTCAGGTTTCACCACACCGTGATCCATTACCCACACTAAAAGCAATCAATACATGTCTATGATATCATGCTTGCTTTGCTTCCTCTCCAATTTTTGGTTTGTTCCTACCCCAAAATGGCACCATGTTCCTCAATATATTGATATTGTACTTTACTTATTTCAACCTCTGAAAAAGTAAAATCCTCAACTGATTATGGAGAAACCTTCCAGACTTGCTTGATTTTGTTCTCTCTTCCTTTGGATTTGTTTTAAAAACCTTTTTGTTAGGCAGCAGTAGGAGAACCCTCCCTTGGTTGGTTTTGCTGGGTTTTGACTGGGCACTGTCAAGGGGATTCCAATGATTAGTACTCATTCCTTGTGTTAGAGGAAAAGTCCCTCATTGGTTTCTTTGACTGCAATCTTTACAGAAGTAAATTGCCAGTCTGTCTCCTGAAAAGCCACTGGGTGTGTTCAAA